TCCCTACACTTTTTTTCTTATGAGTGATTGTACCTGTAAATACAAAATATATCAACTGTGAGTTTTAAGTAGCACGTACTTCTACAAATGCATTCCCAGTTAAAGATAATCTACTTTATATTCATGGAGTATGTGGTCAACTTGCAAGACTGAACTTCTTTGTTTCTATGGTTGTGAAACTAGACACATTCAGGCATTGTGTTTGGACCACAGTGAAGTAACATGTCAATGTCACAAGGACATGCTCTGAAGATTGTACTAGGGCAATTTAGACATTTTCTAAGAAATTTTTTGCTTAATTTAATAGTACAGAGTTCTGTTTTAAGCATTTGTGTAAGAAAAAACTGGCTGTTTGGATTCAAGTGGTTTTGGGGTAAAAGAAGTCAGAATTATTCCAGCACATAGACCCAAAGGAGCGGCAAAGAAATAGTGAAATGGGGACAAATACAAGTTTTACCAGAGTAGTTTTTTAGTTTATGATTTTTTGTATCTGGAGCAAGATTCCGCAGTAAACTGAAATAGGAGGCAACAGAGACCGGAGCACTGAAACACTCTAGGACAGAGAAAGTAAGAAGGCAATAAAACACTAGTGCACTAGTGAAAGAGAATTTACAAGTTATATTAAGGAAAGAAACTAAATGAAAGCAGTAGCATTCAAAAGAGTTATATACGCAGGTAAACTTGAACTCCAGCCAGGTTGCTCTGTAAATCTACTTTACTTTTACTCACCTCATACACTCTAATTCCAGCACTGATGCAACGCCACTGAGTTCAGTTTTTTTCTGTCAATAAAACTGAACGAACCATAGAGAATCACATCTCATTACTGATGATGGATTGCTTGCAGCTTCCTCTGAAGCTTAGTCTTATCTGTTGTCACAGGATACAACTTCAGGTGCAGGACTTGCAAGTCCAACATTGCAAATGTTAATCCAATAAAAAGAGATTTGTTGCATGAACCTCTCATGGAAGACCTTGTCCTCCCTTATCCCCATTCCTTTGGAGTATGTACATATACACCTGAAGTGTCCTGTCTGCTCAGTTAAACTAAAGAAGTCTTCAAAGTGTTACTGAAAAGATTTTAATTTTGAGTCTTTTCCACTGCTTCTACTATGAGTATTGTCACAGAAGGCTTGTTAGTACAGATTATGCACCAGCAGCTTCAGTAGCATATTACCCAACTCTACTTGGGGGCAGACCAGGATACGATAATTATGAAGCTCAGACTTGCTCCTGAGCTGCCCCTTCTGTTGTTGTAAACCACATAACAACATGCTAAGAAAATGTTAAGGAAATTGCTAATGCAGATAAAGCCTGGTTATGCACAACAGTTTTTGCATGACATTCTTTCATTCAGAGTAGCTTGCTCTAGTCTTCAGAAGGGGGGACATAGTCCTTCTCAGCTTCATATGACACTAAAATTCTCTGGATAGAATACATGCATTGGATCAGCTTGACACATTTAGCCTGTCATCTCTGAAGAAGACAACTACATCTTGCTCCGAACAGCCACCCTAATATTCAAGGAAACAAGTTTAAGAGCAGTGTTAGCTAAAAACGTCCCATCAAATGCAGGCTGCTTTTTATTTGGGGGCGGGATGGGAAGGTTCAAGCATGAAATTAGATTTTAACTGAACATCTTTTTCTGTATTCTTCGAAGGCGAATATCATTGATTCACCAAGAAGTTAAAATCCAACTACCTTTTGGGTGAAAAAAAAAAACTTTTTGCCATTGGATATTTTTTAATATTTCCAGCAAAGTCCATTTTTAAAAAGAATTTTTGCCAGTAGGATTCCCCTTTGTGTCCCCCATTTTCTTCAACATATTGTGACATGGCCATACTCCTTTACTTTTTGAGCAGTTGTATTCAGAAATGTAGACTGTCTCTGATGCTACCATGATCTGTCTTTATGACCCTGAGCAGGTTCCTCAGTATTCTTCTGAGATAGTTCTTTACCTACAGAACAGGGACGGGTTTTTTACCTCCAGTGTGCCTGTTGTGAGGTTACTGATGCAAAGTTTAATAATGTTTGTGAACATTTCAATTTTTTTCAATGGGTAGCACTGAGGTCACTCTTTTGGATCCCTCATTTGATCAGCCAAACACATTATAGACCAGGTGTTCCCTCACTGCCAACAATGACTGCATCCATTTTGCTTTAAAACATCACCAAGGAGCCATTTTTATTTTCTGGACAAGTGCAATGGAATAACTCATGTCCATGCCGTTTACTTCTACCTGTCTGTAATAGGAATGGACACATGCACATAATATATTATTCAGAGGTGTCTCTAGCTTACTTTGGATCTCACAGACCTATCTGCCTTCTCCTTCTATACATAGACAGTTTAGGTTTCTGGAACTGCTACTCAAATCCCTAGTTCCATTACCAAGTCCCTGGCCTGCTGTACAGTGTCTGGAAGAGCACAAGCTCTAGAAATGTAAATGAACAGTCTGTGGGAGACATTGACTGCTGTAGCTAGACTATGTTAAAACTAAGTCAACTACACTAAAAGACGGGGTTTGAAAGGCTTAGGAGTGCCACTGTCTTTGACACAAAAGCCTTTCCCACTCTTGATACTGACCATGCCCATTAGCCTCAAAATGAAATTCCAGAAACTGCTCTCCACTGTCAGTGCATCAGTGATCTTCCACCACTCCTCAGAAAGACGCAAGAGATCCCTGCCCTATTTCAGAGCATCTGCAGCCTCTCTTCAGCAGAAACCACATGGCCCAAAGCTTCAAGTTCACAAACACTTTCCCAGGCATATTTTTATATGTCAAATGGATCCATTTCCCAGATGATGTGGATTTAGAGGTCTGAGTAAAGAGGCTATCTGTGACAAATGGTATGTTCCCAGCTAAGGGTCACTAAATAATTGCCTACATGGAAGTCACAGGGACAGCCTTGTGACCACTAAGAAAAGAAGAGTAGGAGTGGATATTGGGGAAGCATGTTTTAGTTGTGCTGCATAATTTTTAGCAATTAAAGAAAGTCACAGCATGATGAATAGCTTTTACGAAAAGAAAATGTCTGTGCATATTTCCCTTTCTTCCATCTCAATGACTGATTGGTCCCAGTTAGACTCACCTACTGTTCTCGTGACCTTGGCGATGGCAAGCAGCACAAAAACACACACGGTCTTCCCAGCAATCGTCATGTCGGCTCCTGCTTTCATGGCTCAGGTAGCTCCGTCACTCCATCCATCCCAGCACCAACCTAGCAGTGGACATGGGGAGTATTTCTTGACTGCCAGTGCATCCTCAGCGGCCAGTGTCAGTGTTTTCTCTCCCCCTTTCCCACTCCTCTCCTCTAGCTGTGCGTCCTCCTGATTGACTGACTCCTCAAAGCTGGAGAGGTTCCTCCTTCTGACTTTTCAGAGCAGTAGGCTTCCTGTGCTGAGAGCCCAGGCGAACGCTGAGGAAACAGATTGAACAACTCTGCCTTCCGTTCATTGGCTCTCCTCGGGAGGCTGATGAGTGAAGATAAACCCTGCAGCAGAGCTCAGAGGGGGTAAAAGTGGAGGAGATTATTCAAGGCTGAGTTTAATATCAAAAAGGAAATCAGTCTTGGGAAGCTAGAGAGAAACTTATTCTTCATATTTGTCACTACTACTACTATGGCTGCTGTTGCTTCTTTGTCACTTCTTTGTCACTGCCTCCAAGAAAATTCCTCCTCATGTCTCCCTCAACAAAATAAGCAGTCTCAAATCTTCTCTGTAAGCGACATTCTTAATGATTTCTCCCTTCAGTAACTAGTTAGCTACTAGTTTTCATCTTGAACAACAAGGCTTTCCAGACTCTGGGGGGAAAAACTGAGGTTTGAGGGGAAAGAAAAACCTACATACTTTTCAACAGAAATAATACAGAAATTGAAGCTGGCCCACACCTTTCACTGAAAAACTGTTGAGTTTTTTTTTTCAAAACACTGTTGTGTAGGTTTTTAAAAAAATAATACTGTACCTGTTTCCCCACTTCCTCATTGATCTAGTAATTACAGATTCAGGGTTTCTTTTCCTTTCTTAAGCCACAGCACTTCCCCAGCACAGTTCTGTGGGCCAGCAGTAGACAAAAGGCCTCAGTTGTTGAAAGCTACAAGTCAGAATAATTACCGGTGAGGACAGAGACATAAGAAGTAAAGACAGAAAACAGATCAAAAGAGGCAGGAAATTGAACTGCTCAGGAGCTAGGACTGCACACCATGTTTGAACATCAGCAAGCTGTACTGATGACTGTAGTACTGATGACTGTAGTCTGATGTTCTGGTAATTTTGTTTGATCAGACTGGTGTTCAAAAATGGTCTGCATTGATGTTCCCTGGAACAGAGGAGTGTGAATTAAGGTCCTATATAAACAAGTAAAAAAAGACGGAGAATGGTCCTATAAAGAAAATCAGGTGAAACACAAATTCAGCTGGATCATCTTGGTCCCAGAATCATCTTACTGACTACAGTTTTGTGTGGGAGGGCATTCTGTGTATGTTTCCCCACTTGATTGTTTAAATTCAATTTAACATTTTGACACTCCTCCACACTGTTCTGAGGTTTTCGATATGGCATTCACAGTAACACTCTGGCTTATTTTCTGAGTTTTTACCATTGATCTAGGAATTAGTAATGCCTGTGAATAGATATATTTTAGACAAGGGCATCGAGAGGAAGAGGTGTTTATGTAAGTAGAGATTAAGATACAAGGCTGGAGAGAGAAGTAGGCAATGTGTAAGCAGTATGAGGCCTCAAATGTAAAAGAAATAGTGCTCAAATTTGATGCAAAGACAAGAGAAAACTAAGGTAGTGTAAATGTGCAGACATGTTGCATATTGGAGAGATAATTGCTGCATGAATATGAAAAAAATGAAAAGATGCAATGGGATAGAGGAGATCTTGGAAGAGAGCAAACTATCTTCTAAATAAGAAAAGTCCTATTTTAAGTTGTTATAATGAAAGGTCTCTGCCATTCCTATAGGAATTCATTTGGAACCAGAAGTTAGACAGCTGGGTTCTTTTGGTAGGCAAATATTATTAAAAATGTCTTTAAAATGCTTTGGGAGCAACTTTCTGCTTGAAGCCTGGTTTTCTAGTAACAAGTGAGGGGCTCATATGAGAAGGTGTGGTGGGCTGACCCTGGCTGGCCGCCAGGTGTCCACCAAGCCACTGTATCACTCCCCCTCCTCAACTGAACAAGTGGAGAAAAATATGATGAAAGGCTCATGGGTCGAGATAAGGACAGGGAGACCACTGGACAATTACCATCACAGGTAAAACAAGGTGGTCTTTCAGACAGTGGCATGGTTTACAGGGTATGTTCCTAGCCAACCAGTAGTTGCTTCCACTATGGTGAGTATGTAGTGCTTGCCTTGGTGTGTTCGTGGCAGTGGTCCAGTACAGTCAATTTGCCTCACCATATCGAAAACCCAGCCACCGCCCTCTATTCAAGGGAGACTTTACTCATGTAGCTCGCTTGACTGCGGCACTTGTTTCACATTCATGAGTGACCAGTGTGATGGCCTCCATGGTCAGGTCCACCCCTCAATCACAAACCCATCTGTGTGTTGCATCTGTCCCTAGAGGTCCCAATGTTTTGTGAGCCCATCGAGCTACAAATAGCTCACTCTTATGCTCCCAGTCCAGGTCCACCTCAGCTACTTCAATTTTGACAGCCTTGAATACCTGTTCATTGTTTTGATGTTCTTCAGTAGCACAGCTTTTGGGCATGTGAGCATCCACATGACGTACCTTTAGAGCCATGTGTGATTAAAGACACGCTTTCAGTAAGTGCACTTTTCAACACAGCAAGCAGAGAAAACTCAAGCATCTCTGGTTTAACGTGCTATGCAGAACCATCAGAGCCTTCCTGGAGATTGAACTTTCCCTGTCTTCTGTGTTCTGAGAGCACAGATCTGGGCTCTCCCTGTGGTTTTCGGTGTGGGTTATTGCAGACCCATTTTATGTTATCATAATGTCATCAGATATTATTTGACAAAGGCAGACGCTGTGATCTGCTCTGTTTGAAGTGGTTTTACTCAGCCTTAAAGTCCTTGCTGACAGCAGATTCCATGCTAATAGCTTGTTCAACAAGAGGTGCAGGAGCTGTAAATCTGGATTTTAATTAACGAGGTGCAGACAGAAATTAAATTACTTCCAGGAACTTCATTTCCAATGATAACATGAATATCAGAGTGCTGGAACCTCAACTGCTATAAACTTTTAAACTAGCCTGGTCCTCTTGACTTCTCACGGAGCTTCCATGACTTTCTCCTTGTGAAAATTCTTCCTGCTCTCTTTCTGTGTCAGCTGAGGATCCTAAATCTTGGGGCTATACAGATGGCTCAACAGGCTGCACATAAATGAGTAAATCAAATTATCTCTGAAGCTGGGAATGACTCTGGAAAAGCATCATGATTCTCTCTGTACTGACAGCCACTGAGTAAGTGCTCACCCCAGCAATGAAATACGATTTTGTCTGGCAGTTTGGCAAGGAAGTGAAATTAGGGTTGGATTACATTATGCAATGGCCTTGTCCAATGTATAGGGCATTAAAACCACTTCAATTATTTCAGAGATAGCAGTGCGTGCCACACTTGTCAGCAAATTTCCTGCCTTTTGATGACTATCTTACACCTAGAAGTTACTTGTTACATCTATAATAAAGGAAAAATAATTTCATAACTTCTATTTGCATACTCTGTAACAAAATACATTAATTTTGCATATGGGGGTATGTGAAAGAGAAAGCAGAAGTATTAGATAGCATCAATTCTTGTGTGGGCAGATGCAAAACTTCTCCTATATCTACCTTGCTGACGCATTTTACTCTGGCTGGCTGTTCCTCTGACTATTCCAGTTCTTAACTCTAACAGGGTTCATCCAATCTACCTGGAATATGATTGACAGGTGTGCCCAAAATTTGATTGTCTGAATGGTTGTAACTGCATACTCTGTAATTTCAGCTCTTGCTTTCAGCATGCCATGAAGGGCAGTGTGCAGTGGTCATTTCCTAGCCCACTGGTCACACCGCATGGCAAGTCCCCTAGTAGAATGGCATAATGCGGTAGGCTGGCTATGGAGATAAAATTGATAAATGTTGTGGCAGTAAAGTGACATGGTATGCTATAAAGCCGCTTCCTGGTTGTTCTGTGGTTGGGTGTTGTTTATTCCTGGAAACACCCACACACCTGAAAGAACAGATGAGAATATGGTTTCTTTTACACAACTCCTACTGGAGGGTAGGTAAGGCTGAGGCTGAGGCCCACATTCCCAGAGTCCCTATCCCTTCAGGGAAGCTTGCATTTAATAGCAAGACTGAAATTGGAGGGCCTGACTTTGAATCCAGAGCTGTCATGCACCCTTTATACACATGTCTAGGTAAATAAAATATTACTCATGTTTCAAAGTACTTCTGGATGTGCTGGGTGTAGGGGCTACTAAAAACTTCCCTGCAGCCTAGTCTGAAATTCTGCTTCCCATCACTCCTTGGATTCCTGTCTCAATAGCTTCTGTGGGCCACGTCCATGCTGTGCAGTTGCTGACAGTGCAGAGCTCCCTGAGCTGGCTTTGAGCTAGCTTCAGAAATAGAAAAGAGTACAGTCAAGTCAGCACAGCACTGCACCTAGCCAGGGCACAACAACTTGTTCGTGCAACTAACTGCTACCTGATGGGGATGAATGATTCCACCCAGTGCAATGCAATGGCGTATCAGCTTACTTGGAGCTAGTTCTGGGGTCACTGACATACGCAGAGGAGCACAGTTCCTGCTGGTGTGAAATGCCGTGGCTCTCTTGAAATCAGCCTTAAGATCTCTAGAATGTATGATGTTCACCTGCCCCCAGTTCCTGCACAGGCACAATGCCTAGGAGCTTCACCTTGTGATTACATTGTGGTTATGTTCCAGCCTACCTCCCAGCAAGGCTTCCCTTGAACCCTGCTCCAGATTGGGCAAAGAAGACTGGGCTTACTTGGAGAAGTGCACTGAGAGCAGATGACTGGAAAGTGGGGAGGAAGTGACTCAGAGGACCGGATGAACTGAGGCAGATGTTTGGTGAGAGGAAAGGAGTAGGAACCTCCAGATGACTCCTAGCTCCCCTCTGTGCTGAAGATCCAAAGCACTGGAGTCAGCCCCTCTTTTCTTTGGTCAGGATGTTGCACAGAAATAAGTAATTGCTAAGGCTATGGTTGAACAATAGGAAGAAGATGTTTCGTTTCTCTGATTCCTTAAAACGCTGAAATCCCTAGCTTGAGGAACAAACAGGATATCTTCACTTGACAGCAAAGCCTGAGGCTATTCTTCTTTCCAATGGAGATGCTTCCTAGCAATCTCCCAGTTGAGGGTGGGCAAGCTAAGGATATGAAGGAGGAAGTTCTGCATTTGAACACCGTTTGCATTTCT